TTACTTTTATTACTCTGGGATTCGATCTGACAATTGCATCTCGTTGTACTAATGAAGTATGGTAACCTGAACAGATGCATATTTGTCCCAGGTTCTAAAATGTGTATGGTTGACTGACAAATAAACCAGTCTGCTTCTACAGTCTCGTTCTCTTCCTTGAGTCGGCATAGTAGTTTTGTTTCATTATGACAAGTAGCTAGTAGCGATTACTTCGCTGTCATCACAAACACCTATATTATTAGCAGTAATAACCATTTTATGTTCAAGTCACAATAGATTTAGGGTGATATTTATTAAGTATGTCATTCGTTTCATCTTTGCTTCAATATACTATTTGTGATATATTTCTTAAATAGAACATTGAACACTCATTGGTATTGATTCAGAGAAAAGTTCACTTTTATGTTTCCAGTGTGCTTTCACTTTCACTTATGTATGTCTTGGCTCTTCTAATGCTACTTTCTGTGTCTGATCGTCGCTGATTGTTATGTCGAAAACGCTTATCACTTATACTCGGAAAGAGGGACCTCTGCAATTCCCACGATACGAAAGTAAGAACACAAAGACTGGTATAAGTGATGATTTATTAACCTCTAAAACACGACGACGACAACGATTCTAGTAGAAAATACACTCATTTATATATTGACTGTACACCCATTTTGATTAATAATTAGAATGTAATCACAGAACAGGTCTCGAAACAGACCTTACAGTCCCAACATCTTGTGGGTTGCATAATTCATAATCTCTATAACAACGAGTCACGTATTAAGATATACAAAGTATGTTTTCGACCACTCTTAGAATACTGCACGTTTATTCTTAGTAGTGTTCGCATAAAGGAAAAATTGATGAGATGATTTACACTTCGGATTCTTGGAACTGATTGTACGTTGGATTATTAATCCAGATGTAACAAATTTGGACTCGACCCTTTATGGAAGAGGAGACTCAATCTAAACCTAGTCTTCTTCTTCTTCTTCAAAATACTTAAAAGACTATCTCCTAAAACCAGACAAGTAATTGAATATGCAGAAATTTCTTATTACAACATCCTTAACTCCTTGTCATTAGTGAAACAAACACGTTCTAAATCATCTCTCCATATGAGTTAATTTACCAGCAAATTTTACACACACCGGAGTAATCTACCACAATCTGTTCATGAGATAAAATCATTTCCATCCTTTGTTCGCTTCATCGATGCTTACTTCGCTTTTGAAAATCCATTAAATGTTTTTACACCTGTATGTGTATCTTATTCCACAAATGAGATTATAGGAACTTCAAATGTTTAGTCATCTTTATTACTGAATACACATGGTAAACCTACCTACCTGCTGTTACTTTACACTTACACCATTCCCGATAACGTGAAATAGTTTGAATAATATCTAATACAAATAGTACATCATAAAATAACCTGACATATGTATTATGGTAGACCTGAGTAACCTATCGTAGTAATTAGTGCCTTTTATGTTCCGTGCTCTCTCCTTCCGTTTTATATTCTTTACTTGCAGATAATTATAATCAATTCGTTATGGCTTAGGAAATCACTTTAAATGCACCGTTCATACATCAACAGAATGTCCAATTAAAAAGAATGAAAAGTTCCCAGCTAATGTCTATCATTACTGTAATACATATGAAAAGTGTACTACCTAGACAATTTTTGAACTAGAACACTTAAAACAGTCTTATATCACATGCTTGTTCTCTACATTCAATATTACTATCTATAATGCATGTTAACTGGCATGAATCCTGTAAATATTAAATTCAGAATACATATTATTATTATTATTATTATTATTATTATTATTATTATTATTATTATTATTATTATTATTATTATTATTATTATTATCAGAGCTCCTTCACTATTTGAAGTACAGTGAAATATTTGAGATTTATTAATCATCGATTAAATATCTATAGAAAATGTTCTCAAATAATATTGTCTATCATTCCATTTATTCTATAATTTGATGAAGATATTTTATAACAAATAGTCAAATACTCAAAATCATCTACAGATAAGTGTGATCATACTTATGGAGTATTTTGATCGGATCATTCATCTCTCTCCTGATCTATGTTTTAAATATGTAAGATTTTGATAAGCAGATAATATCACATCATTTGTCTGTGATATCACACAGATTCACCACATCGATTTTGTCTTCAAATGAGTGTTTCTCCTTCCTTCACATATGATATTGCATACCAGCAAGTAATACTGTCAAATGTTACTCAAATTTGTCATTAGAAATTATGAAAATGTTTAATAAGTGATCAGGTGGAGAGTACAACAACTTTTAAAATATTCATCTATATATCGTGGCATTTACTGAGATGATGATCATCATTCAGTTCGGTTGACGACATCATTCTCATGTTCAAACACCTCTAATCGACTTCTAGTTATCTGAAGTTAGTTCGTCATTATATGTTAACATTACTTAGATAATTATTACAAATAATTATTACAACAATACATACATTGATGACTGCACAATGGATAAATTATGTACTTATCCACTCACTACTTTTTCAGACGATGTTAATTTGCGACAATAACCTACATTTTCAAACGACAACATTTACTCCTCGATTTTTTCTCGATGTCTGTCAGATAATTATCAGATTTCAAATCTGTGAATGATTATTTTCATCCTAATTTTTCGCATTGACTTACAAATTATTACGTAACAGTCCCTTACTCACATTTGAATACTCTTACATACCGTTTGGTGAATGCACTCTCCAATTGTTTTTCTGTTTACTAAATTACAATCAATATTGTTGTACAATATCAATAGATGATATCACCGAAAAGAAACATTACTTCACTAAATTGTTTTTAAATATTCTTTCATGGTATGAAGAGTTATGGACACAATTTGAAAATTTCCATTGTCCAATAAATACACAAACTGAGCAAACAACATTGTTTATTTCACTTGGTATTGTTTGCTTGTATCTTCCGATTGTTGTTTAGGACTGCAATTGATCAGTTTCTTGTTGGCATATGTGCATCCTGTGACGACTGCATCGATGTTGCCTGAAGTCACAAGCTTTATAAACAAAGACGGATGGTGGCAAGCAGTGGAATCCAGGACACGCATTTAGAACTATTTATGACTCATCAGCTGTATGAACCTGCATTTCAGAGTTGATGTTCACCCTGGGACTCGAACCCAGTACCGTTCACTTCAAAGAATGTTATATTGAACCTTTGTAATTTTGTTTCTCAAGTTGTTCAGCGTTTCATTAGCTTCAGTTTCATCTTGGCCACAACTAGGTAGTGATATAAAGCCATGTCATATATTCTCCTCGTTCTTACGTCTTCCTGTTATGTTCGCTACTTGATTAACGTAGAATACGACATACAACCACGCGATTTTAGAATATTAAAAATTTCCATTGTGAAAATTAGAACAACACATATAAGCGAACAATTGTTTTCAATTAGATCGTCATCAGGCTTTACTCTAATATACATGAATATTTATACGAAAATTTTTTTTAAACCAATCAAGGCAATATGAGTCAATAATCACAATGAAATAGAATAAGTCACTACACATAATAGGTAAAAGTACAAGTTGATAGTACGAAGACAGGTGAACAGATAGTGGTAAGAATAATAAACTACAATAACAAAACTCTTATCAATAGTTAAGCGTTGGAAATAGAAGGTCAAATAAACATGGGTAAATAGACTAGGAATAGTAATCACAAAACCTTAAAAAATCATTACGTAATAAGATGTGTGTAAATAATTAGATAGTGAAGAATACAAAGAGGCGGATAATGACAAACAAATAATGGATGTGGAAATAAGGTTAACAATAACACAGATAGAATAAAATAAATAATGATAATACTCGAACGTATAGAACCCCCAACAGTCGTAAATAAGAAGACAGAAGAAGACTGCAGATGTGCTTGTTGGTCAACAATAAAAATGTACAGAAAATCTTGGATATTTATATGTATATTAGTGTTTGTTATATCAACATTATAATTCAGCCAATCCACAGAGAGGCGTGTTATGCAACTGTTCAGTAGTAGTATACCACGTCGATATTCTAGAAGGCTCCATCATGTTCTGATTGCATGGAAACTCTTTGTCTCCCTTAGGGCCTCTGGATTTCTCGGAAGCCGTCGCAACACTTCCATTATCCTTGTGAATTTTTTACAGATGCAAATATGATCTATCTGGTTATCCATGGTGTGGTCTGGTGAGACCGAATTAGCCTTGTGCATGCGTTTGTGTGGGAATATTGTGCCACCTACAACCACTTTGTTCAATGCACATACATCTGCAAATTTATCACCATTCTCGTTCCTTTCTCACACTCCACATTACATATCGTCCCATGATATCCCCACAACCGTTGTTGTCCATTCCGACATTGGTGTTTAGGTCTCCCTCCCATCAGGATAATCAGCTACTACCATAGACACTTCACTATGATCGATTGCAGCCTCTCGTTGAACTGATCTCTATCGTCGTCATTGTTATCATTGTTGAGTGCACAACATTGGATAATATTCATTATGATTGCCTCCTCCTGTGTTTTGAAGGATGCATTGATGATTTAGGATGCATGAGATTCCTGCTCAATGAGTGCATTTCGTGTTTGTTTGGACAACATCAGAGCGATTCGTTGAGTGTATGGAGCATTATCCTCTTTTAGACCGTAATACAGCATCATACGCTGTCCAACTCGGGTTCAATGGCTTTCTGTGATTGTGTGAATAAAGTAGGTGCATTTATCAAGAGCCACATAGAGATATGGGAGAAATCATCCACAGCACTTATTTCTAATAAGATCTGTTTGTAACGTTGAAGAAGCAATATATTATGTGGTTAGATATGTGGATGTGGCCATGTGGGTTACGCAGTGGCGTGATCTCTAGAATCACATCATATCCATCATATTTATCTGGAATACAATATACTGAGAGGTGAGGGAGCGATTTGTTTAATCTCTTATTGTTTTTTTCCATGTAGGGAATGAGGTGTTGATAAGAAGACCAAAATATTTTGGCTTTTGTAACTGGATTTTCACTTCGATTACAAGTATGTCCACTGACAACACTATCATATGATTTGGTTTGGCCAAATATAATTTTTCCTCACTCTGTCTGCATTCGATCGAGTGGTGGGTCTCGTAACCCGGAAGATTGTGACAATTAGAAGTCAGAATGGTAGTAGAAGTAGTAGTAGTAGTAGTAGTAGTAGTAGTAGTAGTAGTAGTAGTAGTAGTAGTAGTAGTAGTAGTAGTAGTAGTAGTAGTAGTAGTAGTAGTAGTAGATGTTGTTGTTGTTGTAATCACCGATGGAGAATAATTATGATATAAACGAATAATTTTCTTACTGTTGTGTCCGATAAGATGAATACTATTATTGTGAAACATTCGTTATTCGCTAGAAATCGTGTTCTAACATTTCATTTTTGTCCACGTCTTTACGATATTCACGTACTTCGTAAACATAAATGACACCTGCCTATTATTCACTCACCTCTCACTTGATACTGTACTTTATTAGGTATAAAATACATTTTTTCCCTAATTATTGTTAACGTTAACCACATACCACTTCAGTGATATTTTCGAGTGCAGACATCTCCTCTTCAAGGTTCCAATTTATCGTATTCCTCGTGATGCAGTTTGGTGATCTCCACAATGTTTGTTCCATCAACTCCCAAGGTCTTTTCTTAATTTCCTACTCACATGAAAGCTGGTGTATTGGCTTGTAATATGTCAAGCCCACATAACAAACAATCTATCTGGAGTCAGATTTAGGGCTACTAAAATGGTGAGCCCGTTGACGATTAACCTATGCAGCAAACTACGATGATGAAGTATCTTCCGCACTCCATACTTTCGACGAACGAACTCAGCGAAGCCAGATCAATCGATAAACAACTCAGTTTTCGACCATACGATCAAACAAAAGTGATCATGGCACCACTAGAGTGGTAAGCTTGACTTCGAACTGAAAGCACCCTGCAAATCAACACAGATGGTGAACATCTCGGACTCTACGCGTCCAATAAACGAATGAAATGGCTGACTTGGTCGACGAGCAACTAAAACGACTCAATTTCTAACCCAACGCATCAAGCAAATCGAGTACTGCAGCGACATGGACATACTCAAATCGTATTATCTTATTTACACTGTCCTCGTGTCAATTCTGCCCATTGAACTATTTGGTGGGTCCTTCCATTTTGATAACAATAATTATCATATTTCCTTTATCACATTATTGTCACATCATCACACCGTGAATCATTATTGCTGTTCGTGTTGACATTAAATTATGACGTTTGCGCACTCATATCACTCACTGAACAAATTATAATTTTATGAATATTCCATTCACGTTAAAACACTTGAAACTCACTGGACTATTTTCTTTTATTATTCAATAACGCAAAACTTTCCTTCCTTAATTGAGTCCGGTCAATTCTTTTCGTGTAATTCCTTCCCTATTTTTACACCCATTTACATAGTCGAGGTCATTTTATGTTATCATACCACACATTTTTCATTTCGTATCATCTCCTATTATGTCCGTGATGCCTTTAATTCCAATAAGCCTTTCGCCAGGACTGATAATCATTATTTTGTCCTTGATCATTTATCAAATCAATGGCTTAATTATTATCGTTCATTTTTGTGAATATATGGCTATCACATGTCACATATTTCCGACGTCTCTACTAGCTGCTCGTACACAGAACAACCTTCAACCTGTTATGTGAATTGGCGGTCTAGCGACACACGCATGCACACAAATCATCAGTCTAAGCAGTCGAGTGAACCTCATTCAAGCTGATAACGGTATGCTCGCAACTAATCCAACGCTGGCAACGGTTAGAAACTCTATCATAGATATAAGATTGCAGTCATACTTCCAATAGTAGGAACTTATGTTCTCGAGATGCAACTAATGTTCATTCATCTCACTGATACGCATCAGTCGTCATTTTTCCACTTTTTCAGCGACAATCTAATCCGAAATTCTGCCATTTTTAGTTCAGTCGATCATCCTTACTTTAATGTCTATACACACATCAAGTATTCGACGCCTCAGTACTAGCCGATTAGTTACCATTAAGTTCATCTTATCTATTCGTTCACATGTATTCATGTATGCTGCATCATCTATAACTCATAAACATTATTTGACTACTGCAATTAATATTCTATTCCCGCAATAATGCAGTCAGAACATAGACTTTAGAGCTGGTCTCTCAAAGATATACTCTTGTTCGTCACATTCAAATCAGTCTCACTCGCTGTCGTGCCTTAGTGCAGCTTCTTAGCAAACGAGGTTGAGCGCACCTCTCCCAAACCACACAAACCACGCTAGACTTCAAGACCAAAAACGAGATACAAATACGCTTATCTCACCTCCGTAGTCACTAGTCTGTTCCTCTAATCATCCTACTAATACATATTTAACGATAACTCGACGCATCTGGTCACAGCGCCAACGACGACGTACACTGATTTCGCATTTTATGATCATCATCAATCACAGTATAGCAATGAATATCACCTGTCGATGAAGTTACCATTTCACGGCTTGATCGGTCTTATCCTACGAACATAAAATCCATGTATGTAAATTCGAATCCATTAATCGGAAATCGACATTATTTACTCTACTGTGGCTTATCATAACATGTCCATATTTCACTGTTCCTTATCCTTATTTTCAGTCGGCACCACAGACCAATTTGTTATATTCTACCCAACTGATTTCCACGACTTATCTCGCTCTCATACCTATAAACGATTCACAACACTTTTCACGGTATTTTGAATATCTGATACTATCGCGTTACTTTATCGTTCGGCCAAGCATGATATAAATGCATGTCAATTGTTTGTACGCTCACTAATTCGCTAGAAATCGCATGCTGACATTTCATTTTTGTCCGCGTCTTTACGATATTCACGTACTTCGTAAACATAAATGACACTTGCCTATTATACACTCACCTCTCACTTGATACTGTACTTTATTAGATATAAAATACATTTTTTCCCTAATTATTGTTAACGTTAACCACATACCACTTCAGTGATATTTTCGAGAGCAGACATTTTGCAAATTAATGTTCTATTTTCTACAGTGGGGCTTGATAGGAGTTGGTACTATGTCAAGCTCACATTGGATATTCTAGATTCTGAACCGATCTGTCTATTCATTCAACTCAAGCCATATTTTAACCCTGTCACTTATTCACTCATCAACCTTGACTGTATTCATGTGAGCGTATGTGTGTGCCTTTCTCATCTTACTCATCACATGTCTGTAACTTATTTTTGTCTGATTATGAATGTCGATCCACGCTTGGTTTAATCGAGTTGGCTCACTCGCCTTCTCCAACGCGAGTCATTTCTCTTCGTTTCTTCGATCGTTTGTCTGGATCAAATATACTTGTTCGAAACCCATTCTCTTATTCGACTTATTCAATCCCTTCATCGACTAACCAGATCTAAGTCGTTGATTGCATACGAGGAAAGCTGACAAGTATGTTTCGATAAGAAGCAGCAAACGATCTACATGCAGTTAGATCATATGGCCACAAAAGTGGTTTGTTCTCTCCTACAGTAGGCTCTTGCTGATGATAAACGGCCAACAGGCATTTGGCATTTTGCGTAGGAAATTGTTGTCAATTTACACACCTGGGTTTGAATCTCGTGGGGTGTGGGATTGTGGATGCGTAATACTGAGGAGTCCCATACTAGGATGAAACGGCAGTCCAGTGTTTCCAGGCTTTCCATAGTGGTCTACCTTCGATGGCCTCATGATTTCGATCAGTGATATTTACACACCTATCAAAATATTAAACGTAACGAAACAAAATCAAATATTGTGCAAACAACTCAACATCTCACCACCACATTCTCAGTACTAACTAAATGTGAGTAGTATGATGAATTGATGAAAATGTTGTCAGTGAATTGACGTCTACGCACTTCCCTGATTCAATGTTAACAGAACAATCCAGGGTCCTCCTACACTACAATTAAACAATACACTGTCTCGACAAACAACTGGAAACAGTTCATCTAACCATGCAACGTCAAACCGAAACGAACATTTGAATTCATCTTACGAATTTGTCAAAAATGTGAATTTATCATAAAGTCTTCTGAAATATTTATAATAATATTAATCTTATGTTTCATTATCAAATGTTTAGTATTTCACGTTGAATAAGTAACGATGTTATGAGTATGGAAATCGTGTGTAACTGTGATACACTATCTAAACGGAGGCGATCGATCCAGATGGCTCACAAGTTCGATGTAGGATGGGATTCTAGAGACTTCGCTACTGCGTAACCCACATGGCCACATCCACATGTTGTGCAAATCAATAAATCTAACCACATAATATCTTGCTTCTTCAACGTTACAAACAGAGCTTATTAGAAATAAATGCCGTGGATGATTTCTCCCATATATCCATGTGGCTCTTGATAAATGCACCTACTTTATTCACACAATCACAGAATCACTACACAGTATTCATGTTAGGATTTTCAAAAACCATTGCGTGATTACATAATACTGGTAAACATTGGAATTCATCTTACGTACTCTGTGCTCCAACTTCAAGAAACAATTATCAAGCCTCATGATGATAGTCGAGATTTGTCGGAAATCGCGAGGCAGATGTCCCATCTAATAACTACAGCAACAAGTTATATAGGTACATGAAACTTCAGGATAATATGGGAGAGCGCAAGGGCCAACCAAATAGCAACAGAAATAAGGCGATACAACATAACAGTACTCAGAATAACTGAAAGCCATTGAACTCGAGTTGGACAGCGAATGATGTTGTTTTACGGTCTAAAAGAGGAAAATTCTCCATACACTCAACGAATCGCTCTGATGTTGTCCAAACAAACACGAAATGCACTCATTGAGCAGGAATCTCATGCATCCTAAATCATCAATGCATCCTTCAAAATACAGGAGGAGGCAATCATAATGAATGTTATCCAATGTTGTGCACTCAACAATGATAACAATGACGACGATAAAGATCAGTTCAACGAGAGGCTGCAATCGATCATAGTGAAGTGTCTATGGTAGTAGCTGATTATCCTGATGGGAGGGAGACCTGAACGCCAATGTCGGAATGGACAACAACGGTTGTGGGGATATCATGGGACGATATGTAATGTGGAGTGTGAGAAAGGAACGAGGATGGTGACAAATTTGCACATCTATGTGCATTGAACAAAGTGGTTGTAGGTGGCACAATATTCCCACACAAACGCATGCACAAGGCTAATTCGGTCTCACCAGACCACACCATGGATAACCAGATATATCATATTTGCATCACTAAGAATTTCAGGAGGGCAATGGAAGATGTG